TGCTGTTATCTCGGCAAGTATTGCGGCGCCTGAGAAGGGCGCACGCTTGATCCTGCTAGATGCCGCCTACGGAGGTGGCGCCTCTGCGCAGTCCGTTAGCGTGGTCTATGCAGGCGGCGGAACCGATTGTGTCCGAGTACCTCCAAAAGGAGGTGGCAGCATCGATGACGAAACTTTCTGTGCTGACAGGGCGACCTGGCTGCACTGGATGGAGCGTCACGGCGCAAAAGTCCCAGGCCTCGCTTTGTCCGTGGAAGCCGAATTACCCGACACCTAGGTACGAACTACCTCTATTTCTCAGGGAATGAGAAGTCCCATCGATGTGATACGTTTGCTCGACCCGCCCCTCGAGGTCATCGCATGCTCAGCTCTGGTATACCTGGCACGCCCTTGGGAAAGCCATGTTCAGGAGCGTACAAAAGGCAGGCATCCGGGTCATGCCCGCAAGCCGAGTCGAGAGCCTCATGATCTCTGGCAAAAACCATCGTATTACGGGCGTGGTCGTACAGCTTATCAGTCCTGGTTGGAAGTCCTTCAATCGTCACGAGTCTCACGCGCCGTGGTCAAAAGCTTCAGCTTTCCGTTCCTGGGCTGACCGATGTGTTCCTCAGCCGCGCAAGAAGCAGCTCCCAGAACTTCGCCAAGTGGCGCCCCAGGGCACTCGCGGCGACAACGGATCAGGCAAGCGGCTTGGTCAGTCTGTAGGCGGCGTGACGGGCAATATGGACCGTATTTCTGCCTGACGCTTCCTCTATCCGTCGATAGCCTTTCGAGAGAGCGTCATCGTCTCGCATGAGGGCCGGCGCTTCATCACCGAGCCCATCAGCGGCCTGTTCATAGCTGATGGCGCTTTTGGCCCGCTTAAGCAAGCCAACGGTCGGTAAAAGGACAAAACGATGCGGGTAGGTACAAGCCATACCACCAAGGAGGACTTCTTCCCTGCGTTTTTGGCAGCCTTCACAAAGTCTATGACGGAGAAGAATGTTCAGGGAGGATTCAGAGGGCCTGGGCTTGCTTCAATGAGCCCGGAAAATGTGATTTCAGACCTGGATGTAAATTACGGACGCCTACGTCTTTCGGGGAGGATCTAACTACGCCAGCCAAGAAACGCTGTGGCGTTTGTGGCGAGACTGGACGTGATGCGCGAACATTTTACATTGAGATAGAATCATCTCAAGAAAATAGTTCTGAGTAGTTCAATTGGTTCCGGGCGTTCTGGTTCACTGGGATGGGACTTTTGTCGGGTAGCTGGGAGAAAGTGGCGAGAGTGGCCACTCGCTTATCGTGGACGTTAACGAATTTACGACGATCAATTAAATTCACCATATCGTGACTTGACAAATCGACACCGCGTCAACACTCCTGATCACTGAGGAATATAAGAGAGACCTTGTTATTCGAAGTTCGTTCTCGATGATTATAGTTCCCATAGTAAACTATCGTTAGCGTGCCTTTAGTCTAATAATTCTATTCTATAATGATAGAAGTTTGATTCCATTATATTTCTAATTATTTTTATAAATTATAATATGAATTTAAGTAAGCAGAAATAGGAAAGAAGGTATAGTATTATTAAACCTTTCTTTTTAAATATCTTTTAAGCTTCTATATCTGGAAAATAAAAAGGCAGATAGCTAAAGCACTAAATTAAAGTTTATATCAATAGTGAAGCTGTTGAGAGGGCTTCACTGCCTATGTGAACCCTGATTCATTGCTTTGGCTGTGCCTGAGAGCTCTGAATACGTAGGGTAGGTGATATAAGTCTTGTTGTGTGATTCCTGCCATCTCTCTGAATTGCCACTCCCTACGTGAGTCAGATGTACCCATCTGATTCACCGATCACGCAAGCTTTGATTCACGTCCTCCTGAGAGCTGTGAATTCCAGCCCCGGTGATCACTATATCGGTGATCCCCTACCGAGATCACCGTTCTAAGGGAATCCCCTAATATTAGTTCAACAGAAGCCCTCTTGATAAGTATCGTTCAGTAGAGGGAATAAAGCTATTAATACCTATAAAAATCGCAAGTGAATAATACTCTATAGTACGTAAAAGGGCGTATAAACCATCAGAGGGGGTTTAATAACCAAGAAAGGTGATATGGTCGTGGTCACGGGGACTAATAAACTCAGATCTCAGACACTCAATTTATGGTGTTGTATTAAGATGCCCCCCCCCCCCTATTAGGAGGGACTATAGAGGTTCTCTATATATTATGGCTCCTAGTCATGTAACTAGGAGTCGTACAGGCTGGTGATCACTGTTCCGTGATCACCGAAGGGGATCACTCTCCAGTGATTACCAACCGATGGTCACGTGACAGGCTCCACGTCATTGCCTGTCCACTGTGCCCGTAACAAAAGGTATCTATATCAAGGAGCTACTCTATAGAGCAGGAAGGTGCCTACAAACTAAACTCTAGGAGGCACCTGGGTACATGCCACCTAGAACCAGGTGAAGGCCACCGACCAAGTCAATGCCAACACCAACCTTGAAAACTACCAACCAACGCCCCGTCTGTCCTTCGCGCTGGACTTAGTGCTAACGACCTGCGCCAGCTTTCGTTTGACGTCTAGTCGCGCGTATCTCCAACCTTTTCCTGTAGACGATTCATGCCAATCACCTCAGCATGTTGTTCTCTTTGTGGTGGCACAGTCATCGACTCGGGGGGGCAGCCGTTGTGGATGGCTCGATTCGTCGCGTGTGAGTATCTGATCTTTGAGTAATGTTTTGCTCGTCAACGGGACATCGCCTGACAGTCAATTCCTCCAGTGTACCCATTGAATGATCGGGCCAAGACGACCGCTTGTGTTTCGGGCTCAGGTCGCCGGGAGCAGCTCACCGACAAGATCACGGCTTCGTCTGCAGCAGGGGCACCCACTGAGCCCGACAGTGTTGATCCTGACGACGGCTCGTTCAGGATTAATCTTATGCTGACAGCGTTTGAATCGCACGACATGCCAGGCCCGCCACCGCCCTGTTGGGGCTTTCCTTTCCACGCTGCATGCTGGGAGATTCTGTCGCACGCCTGTCTTCAGGCCGATTGATCCTGGGTCCAGACCCTCTTTCATCTTTGCAGGAGCCTTCCCGTGAGTTCAGGCTTGCTCGACTGGAGGCATGACTATCACGGCTCAGACCTGCAAGGTGATGAGACTGAGCTCCTGCCTTCCACAAACGCGGAGCACTCAGGCGAACCACTGATCAACAGGAGAGACCCCCCTTGCTATCCCACGCATGACGCTTATCTTTGGGACAGGAATCTCCAATGGATCAGATGCATCGACTGCAGTGTTGGCTGATATCCCGACGGCATCCATCAAGTCAGTTATCCGAAGCAACAAGGCGACGACTCGGCATATGGACACGTTTGCCAAGTTGCCTGCAGAGATACTCGGGCTCATCATCACCGCCCTACCATCATCCGACGTTATCAGTCTGAGACAGGCGTCTCGCACTGTCGCCCGCATCAGCTTGCCGGATGCATTTTGGATATCCCGCTTTCTTCCCGGTCGAGAGTTTGACCACGTCTTCGAAGCACGCCAGCACTTCTCGTCTCAAACGCACAGGGGGAGGTGGAGGTCGATATACAGGTCTATGCAGAAAATCGAGAACTCCCCGTCCATGGAAAACAGAAAACGCATCTGGAAGCTCTCAATGAGCCTCCGCCACGTCCTGGAGGGCATGCAAGGGAAAGATTGTCGAGGAACTTCTGTCCAGTCGTATTTCGAGCCAGATGCGCCTCCAGCCACTACTTCGAGACCGCTCATAGACTACTCAGACAGCGAGTCCAGTCCATGTGGAGAGGGTGCAGAGCTTTGCATGAGCGCCGGCTCTCATTGCCGCCTCACGACGCTGTTACGGTCTTCGTCTCCACCATCAACATATTTGGCAGGTGCTATGTCTCTGGTCTCCGAATCCTGGACGTGAGCAACAATCCTCAACCCTTGGGTTTCATCAATACGGAAAACGAGATGCCTCTCCAAGCAATATCGGGCAGTTCTTTTCGGATCAAAGGCTTCTGTCTCGCCCAGGATCAGAGGGGAATCAGAGGGCTCGCCGTTATAATCAATAATGGTCAACTGACCCAGTGGATTGGCGATTATGAAAATATCCCCAAGAGACGGCTTGTCTTCGAGTCTGGGACTAGCAGCTGTGCTGCTGTTATCAACATTGTTCAGGGCGGTTTCGATGTGAGTATTGGCTCTGACCCCATAGGTGTTGGATTTGGCAAGGGCGTGTTGACGGATCCGATGCCTTCCTCGGATGACGTACTGGATGATCGCAGGCCTTCAAACTCGTAACGCTTTCCGTATCGGCGGACTTGTCTGTACCGCTGCCAGATCCAGACTCACGACTGGACTTTAAAGATCGGGCTATATGGTACCCGGACATCCAAAATCCAGACCTGACCATGCTGGGCACGTCGGGAAGAATCTACGGGCGCAGCTTGTATGACGAAGCTGTAGCGCGTTTTCTGGTGTTTGGCAGCACTGATGACGATCACGCACGCAATCCCACCCAAGTCACCGTCCGAATGAAAGACAACGGACCTGGACAATTCACTGATTTCCGTGAAATCATCATAAGCTTCGCCCCCGCCGCTCATCAGACGCTTATTCGATTAGGCCTCAGGAGCGAGACAGCGCCCCAAGAAGAAAGCCTGGTGATCGACGGTCCTGGCGGCGAGCGCATCACGGCGCCAGACTCGGTGTATGAATATAGCCAGCTCTTGGGTTTCACGGTGCGTGTGGTCCTGCACATCTGGATCACAATGCCTTGAGGCTAACTCTTGCGATGAACAGATCCGTACAAGCTTTGGACGCGCAGCTGACTTTCCAGCTGGGTTTCGAGACGACATTTCACCTCGCGCATCGGTAGCGAGATCGGTGCACTGCCCGGCAAAAGAGAGCATTGTCGGCTTCTGGGCCATGGTAAGCTCTCATGCAATATTGAGTCAAAGTCCCGGCGTTGGAATTGAATGCTAACGCGCTCGTCTTGCTGTTTACAGACAGAGACAGAGAAAATCTTCGATCTCGGCCTTATTTCAGCTCAGTCTGTGGTATGTAATGCAGGAAACGACGAGGAGTGTGGAGAGGAGCCCGCCGTCGTAGAGGGCTTGACCATGTTGCACGAGGCACAGGAATGAGTCGGTGCAAGTGAACATGTCAAAACAAAGATCATGGCACCCGATCAGACAGCATTTCTCGGGTTCTCTGCCTGAGCCACCTAAATGGGCAGCCCCTTTCGAAAGGCTTTGAGTCGGTCTCAGGTTTATAAGATTTTGATCCGCACAAAGGAGCAGTTGGACATCAGCGGCAAATGGTTACAAGGATTAAATATCCCCGCCACGTGTGAGCGGGCGATATATGGACAGAATAAGGTACGTATGGTGCGTATGTACAGGCCACCCTCGCCGACTCTGGCGCCCCTCATGCCAACAAGCCCATTTAGCCTGACAGCCAACCCAGCAGAGCCTTGTGGAACTCCTCGGGCGCCGAAATCTGGGGCGAGTGGCCCTCGTCGGGGAACGTGATGAGGTGGCCGTTGGGGAGCTCGGCGGCGATCTGGGGGCCGAGGAGGTCGAAGCGGCCGAGCTTGGCGGCCACGTCGGGCGGCGACCACTGGCCACCGATGGCGGTGGTGTCCTTCTCGCCGATGAGAAGCAGGGTGCGGGCCTTGATGTCCTTGAAGTAGTGGGCCACGGGCTGGGTCAGGACGAGGTCGACAATCTTGGCCTGGCAGCGCACAAAGGCGTCGCGCAGGGAGCCGTTGTAGACGTTGACGAGCATGCGGACCCATACGTCGTAGGCCTCCTTCCACTCGCCGAGGTAGTAGACGCGCTGCTCGTAGCCGCGGATGGACTCGTAGGTCGAGGCGGCCTCGGAGGTGAGCGACTGGTCGATGGGGATGTAGGGGACGCCTTTCTGGACGTAGTCCTCGAGGCCGATGCCGTTGACGATGACGAGCTCGTCGACGGTGGCCGGGTACTGCAGGCCAAAGGTCGTCGTCAGCATGCCGCCGAACGAGTGGCCGATGACGGTAACGTTGCCGACGCCGGCGGCGTCGAGCAGGCCGCGCGTGTTGAAGACGAGCTGCTTGGGGCTGAACTGGTAGCCGGCGGGCTTGCTGCTCTTGCAGAAGCCGATCTGGTCGGGCGCGATGACGCGGTATCCCTTGCCGGCGAGCGCGCGGATCGTGCCCTCCCAGGTCGCGCCGCAAAAGTTCTTGCCGTGGAAGAGGACGGCCGTCTTGCGTTGGGCCTGCACTTGGGCTTGACGTCCATGAAGGCCATCTCGAGCTTCTCGGCCTGGCTGACAAACGAGAAGACCTCGACGGGGAAGGGGTACTTCCAGTTGAGGCCGTTGAGGTTCTGCGGGAACGGGCCCTTGGAGATGGTGCTGTGGCTGCGCGTCGCTCAGGCCGGCGGCCATGAGGCCCGTCGTGAGGGCGGAGAGCAGTGAGAAGCGCATCGTGAGGTGTGATTCAGAGG